ACTTGGTGCCAGGTCCGGACTATAAGGTGGATGCATAAGAACCTCCCAACCAAGCTCCCGGAGCTTCTGGCGAGTCACTATCGATGTGTGTAGCCTGGCGTTGTCCTGATGGAACACAATTCCTCTCCTATTGGCCAAAGCTGGCCGCTTCTGGGCGATTGCTTCCTTCAGACGGTCCAATTGTTGACAGTACAGTTCCGAATTAAGAGTTTTGCCATAGGGGAGCAGCTCATAGTAGATAATTCCCTGCCAATCCCACCAAACGCACAGCGAAACCTTCCTGGCCGTCAATCCTGGCTTGGCCACCGTTTCCGCCGGCTCACCGCGATTCGACCACGACCGTTTTCGCTTGACGTTGTCGTAAGTGATCCACTTTTCATCACCAGTGACCAACCGCTTCATGGTCGACCCAAATGGGTCGATTTTGTTGCGATTCAGCAGCGATTCACAGATGGAAATTCGGTCCATAAGGTTTTTTTTCGTTAACTTGTGTGGCACCCATACATCGAGCTTCTTTTTGTATCCAGCCTTATTCAAATGGTTCCAAACGGTTTTTTGTGCAATCTTTAGCTCTTGGGCAATCGAAACAGTGCTTACATGACGGTCGGACTCGACAATGTCCATGATTTTATCGATATTTTCGACAATTGGCCTTCCAGTGCGTGGTGCATCTTTGACATTGAAATTACCGGAACGGAATCGACGAAACCAAAATTGCGCATGATTGGCTGTTACAGTATCAGGACCATAAACACTATTCACATTTTCAGCCGCCTGGCTTGCGTTTTCGCCTTTATCGAAGAAAAACTGTAAAATATAGCGTATTTTCTCTTTGCTAGTGTCCATCTTTGACGCGCGCTCAAACAAAACTGAGTCAACTAATCACAAAACTGTCAAAAAAGTTTTTTAGTAGAAATCTCATCTTTCTAATGCCATCCAGTGGAACCCGATCGGACTTATACAACGCGAGATACAGATAACTAAAGCCATCTATTGGAAAAATAATGGATTTCTTTTTACTACACCTGATATGTGAATCGCTTAGTATGAAATATTAAATTCCGCGCCATTGATTGTTCTGAAGATTAATATTTCATACTGATACGTATTTTATCATAACGATAACGATAAATTCATCATAACGATAAAATTAAGACGACTGCGCGTCTAAGCTTTTAGCAATACGTTAATTGGATATTTCAAAGAAATCTTATTCACGGTTGTCTAGATAATATTAGATGCGAAGAATTAAATTACATGCATGTTTCGGGAAGCTATAGTTCCCCAGTTGTATTGCAGATAGAAATTTATGTCGATGATTAATTAAGAGTACCATTTGCTTATTATTTCCGAGTTGAACTTAACATCTCCTATGCTTTCGAATATTACATTGACGTAATAAACGTTGAAATATTTATAGGTCTTTTTCCAGTGCGCGTAATATCTACCTTGTATAATGATGCTAGCATTGATATTCGTCAAGTCGCTTCTTACAAAGTAAGATGTGAGAAACGCGATGACACTATGTACGCAACTAATACTAGGTGCACCACTAAGTTTCCGGGTTTCACACATGGATGGCGCTAACGACACATGTAGTCGACATACATGTCTGAAGTCGTGTTTTGTTATAGCTTGGACATCTGTTAACAATAACCAGTCGTAATACCAACACATATCGTAATATCGTAATGCAAAAATATTTTTCCTAACAACGAAGATGTCAAGCTTTGTGCCAAATAAACAGCATTTGCAGGAAGCTTTGCTTTTCTGCTTTAACTTCAAAAAAGTGCAGCTGAAGCACGTTGTTTGCTTGACCTACGGCGAACATGCACCATCGAAAACTATCTGTGAAGATTGGTTTAAACGCTTCAGAAGTGGCGATTTCGACACTGAGGATAAGGAGCGCTCCGGAAGACCAAAAACAAGCCAGAGGACGCCGATCTGCAAGCGTTATTGGATAAAGATGATACGCAAACACAAGATCAACTTGCGGAGGCATTAAACATTACTCACCAAGGTATTTCCAAACGTTTACATGCCATGGGAAAAATTCAAAAGGAAAGAAAATGGGTGCCGCATGAGTTGACTGAGAGACAGATGGAAAATCGAAGAGCCACTTCCGAAATTTTGCTTTTGCGGCATGAAAGAAAGAGTTTCCTGCATCGAATTGTTACTGGCGATGAGAAGTGGATATATTTCGAGAATCCCAAACGCAAAAAATCATGGTTTTCACCTGGCGAAGCATCAACATCGACGGCACGGCCAAATCGATTTCAAAATCATCAAATTAACAAAAATCTGGGCGCTATTGTAACACTATATTCTTGAGACTAAATAAAGCAAGAAAGTCTAGTACCACTTTTTCTTTCGATAAATAATTAGCGAGATATCGTAAGTTAAATATTGAAAAAGTTATCAAGTTTTCCTCAAATATCTAAAAAAAATATTAGACAAATAAAAAAATGTTTTGAACAAAAGTTGTTCAGATTAACTAGTAGAAAAAAACAGTCTAATAAAAAATAAGGGTTCCCATTTTAAAAACGCAAGTTGACCTTCAAAAAACTTTAAAAATGGAGGTCAAGGTCAAAGTCAAGGTCATCATAAGGTAGCTCACTTAAATTCCTACAATCTTTTATTCAGATCATTTTCCTTGAAACTTCACTACTGAAGAGTTATTTTGGGTGGGACATTAAAATGGGACACCTTGTATATCGTGAAGTTTGGAATGCCATAGATAGTTATGTCCAAAATCTATAGGACAATAACAGAGTTATCTTTGACGAAGTAAGATACAGTTTCCACGCGATACCGTTCGAAAGACGATAAGTTAAGCTGCGCCGATTTTCAGATGCTTCATCGACTTAATACTGCGCGCAAGGTATGCATTGACCGTTTCCTTCAGTCACGAATATATTTGTAAGTAGAGTACTAAGAACATAATAAACTTGCAATTTCACCTCTGCGCGAAGATGAAAGAGAATTTCCTATGTCATTGATTCGGTAAGCACGCGTTTTTTATGAGAACGAAAATCAACTCGGTAAATGAGATCACGTGTAATATTAAATAGTTACAGTCTGTCAAGTAAGAGTGGTCAAGTAAGTGGTCGGGTTAATTTAAAAAAAATGTATTAAATAAAATTTTTAAATACATATATACATTGTACTCTCGATGAGAACAAGGATGCAATTATGTCAATAATGCATCCAGTCCAGGACGTCACCGACGTCGATAATTGACTGGTATCTCTGAGGCATGCTTTCGACTCTTGACGGTGTATCCAACGAATCTCGCAAGATAACTGCTTCAAAGTGTACGTGCGTTTTCCACGAAGCTTCTGCTTAATATATGCCCACACATTTTCAATAGGATTTGCATTGGTGACTGCGGACGGTCAATCCAATTATTTGGAGATCCTTGCCGCTACAGTACGCCGTCAATTTGGTCAAAAGCATGTCTCGGAGATGCTTAGCAATTATCGACGCCGGTGATGACTGGACGCATTACTGACATAATTGCATCCTTGTTCTTATCGAGTACAATGCATATATGTATTTAAAAATTTTATTTAATCATTTTTTTTATAAATTAACCTGACCATGCTCTTATTTGACCGACTGTGTATGTGAATCTTTCTTAGAATAGAATTCTATTCGCGAGATTAAAAATGGAGATACAAATATCAGCTGCTCGAGAAAACTTTCGACCTTGCGTGATAATTGTACGGTTATTTACATACGATCCCTAGATCAGGTCAGACCTCACCACGATCATTGTGTTCATCAAAAGGACAAACGGGGAAATAGCGTACATTGTGTCCTACTGAATGATCCTCGGTTGAAGACAAAGTTAATGTCACGTTGAAAAATTGAACGACTTTAACGCACGAATTTTATTGTTACTGAATAATCTTCCGAATGTGAGAATTCGACCACAATTGACCACTTCGTGCTGTTCTCGTTTCCACGTCTCTTGTTAATATATGTATTTGTCCGACGAGTCTAGATTCGCGTTTCGAACACGACGATCACGTATACGCGTATACGATGTAAGTCATAAGCGGTCTCGTGATTTAACATTGTGCCAATGTATTTATGAAGGGAATAATATGAAACTTGTAAACGCAGGCCGAAAGTTTTCACGAAATCCTATGATTATAGATAAAGCGGCTACTTGAAAGGAATATACGCTGCAAAGTGAATATATAAATCACAGTCTACAATTTTTAAAACAATGATAATGGGACAGTCATATGCATGCTGAGAAAGATGAACCGCAATAGATCGATGAATTCTGTCTTATAATTTGTCTTATAAATATTATTCAAAGAGATCAAGCGATGATATATTGAGAGAGAAAAACATCTAAAAATGTTAAATATTTCTTCTGTTGCCGTTAAATTTTCATGTTGTCGAATAGAGAGAGAGAGAGAGAGAGAGAGAGAGAGAGAGAGAGAGAGAGGAAGAAAGAGAGAGAGAGGGTGAGGGAGAGTGAGAGGTGGAGAAAGAAGAAATTACGCATAATTAATATATTACCTCAAATTTTATTTGTTATGTGCATAATTCTTTATTGCGTTTTTTTGAAATTACAAATAAATTTGTATAGTTTAAGCGCCGTCATTTTCAGGAAAATAAAAACATCAATATTGCAAACGTGTTAACATGAATCTCTTTTTCTTCTGCAAGAAAAACAAATATCTTCCCTATTGTACGTATTCTTTTCTTTCTAGGAATATTCAAATATACGCGTACTATCTGAGTAATTATATATCCAAATTTATTTTACAGTTAAGATAAAATTGTTCTGGATACCGTTTAAGATACAGCTGATGCTTCAATAAAAAAATTTATTTTCGGACTGCGAAAACGTAATTTGTCTTATTGAACTATCGTCTGGTATTGTAAAATGCTTCGAAAAAAAATTGTCCAAATTATATCAATTTCAAGTCTACAATCGTGTTTGCGTAAGGTCTAAAACATTTAAGTCTAGGATAGATCTGTATATATTACTTGAGATAAGATTAGCAGCATAAAATGGTCACGATTGCGAGCGACAATTCGCGGGCTTGATCGGTTATGATAAAAGCTGAAATGATAGTATACGAGAAATTTAACGTTGCAAATTTAGCGAAGAAATTGTGAACAACGTATAGGTATTTTTATCGTACTTTTATCCATCGAATGAAAGAACAATAAAGAGACACTATGCCGTGTACCGTGTACCGTGTACCGTGTATTATCATGTGAATTCTATCATAACTATAAACCTGTGAGCACTCGTTCGCATTTGATGTGTACAAAACTCGATCGGAGAAAAAAAGCCATTTTCCAAAGCAGAGTATACTTAATTTTCCTAATAAAATAATAAATAATTTTCGACACAATATAATAAATAGCTAGTACATAACTCATTGTGCAAACGAGTAACATTCACTATAAAATAATTAGTTTCCTCGTCACGACGATAAAATCAACAGAAAACAACAGAATGGTTTAGCGAGTCATTAACACGTCAATTGGGAAATGCATATAGATCTTAGTCGAGATGATTTGGATCATTTCAGCTACAACGTCTTCGAGGTAATGGTTTAATTCTGAAGTCAATGATTCCCACTCTCTTAGAAAATAATCATTTGCTACTTGAGTTAGACTACTGCTACCTCTACCTTTTTGTTCTTTTTTAGTGAACACCTCTCCAATATTTCTGAATACCACGGTGACGTTATCCACGGAGAAATATTGCATTTTGTTTTCTCCGTCCTCAAAATTCGCGCCTTGTATAATAATTTCAGCAGTGACGTTCGTAATATTGCTACTTAAGTCGTATCTACTACTTTTAATAAACGTAGACCCGATCAAGGCGTATGGGTCGAGCTTAGTAAATACATTGACGAATGGAAAGTACGCGAGAAACTGAATATAATCATTCTTGTCTGAAACACTAAGAACAACAATTTTAAGATAATTTTGTGCTTTGTTGGTTACCAACTGCGGACGGATTCATCATGTGAATCGTCTCAGTTGGCCAAGTTACTATCATTTTTTACGGCGAATATTGTCCGAATGTGTTAATTGATCGCTTAGCACATTTTTAAGATCTTTAGCGCTCTCTTCGGACAATGTGAGAATTCTCTAACCGACAATATTCGTCGTACATGTGAAATATTGGCTTAACTGTATCGAACGCCGAACGATTCGCCGACGTGTCATCTGTTACATAATAATTACTTACTTGACTTCCCTTATCGTGAAATTTGTTATACCATTGACAAGTGTATCTCTACACTTCATCAGACGAACAAACCGGTTTTGAAAGTCTATTTTTTGAAACTTCACATAATATGGCTCAAAAGAGGAGATATTCAAACGTGAAACACCCTGCATTAAGTAAGGCTTCATCGATTCCAGACTTTGCGGTAAGCATGTTTGGAGACTCAATTTTGGACATGTGTGGAGATTTGGTACTAAAAACAAAATAAACTGTCCTTGCAATCTTTTATCCACATATATATCAAAGCGACGTATGTCATCAATCTCATGTTCTATCTGGAAAGCGCGCGATTCTCGTGAGAAAAAAAATCGACGCGGATCGACGAATACGAGAGATCGCGCGTACCTATTACAAGATAGTTGCAGAAAACTGAACATTATACATGCTTATACTCGTTGGAGAATATTACTTTATCGGACGATCGCTGTGTTACTTACATTCGTCTCTTAGGTTGATGGCAGACATCTTCGCGATGAAACCGCTCGTTATAACGAGGAAAGCAAAGATGGTATGCATTGTTGCTTGCGAAAAGGTCTTTGCTACAATTCAAACTTAACGAAACGCTAAGCGATTTTGACGACAGATTTATCAGCAATAGTGTAATCGGTGTGTTTTCAGCGATAATCCAGCCACTCACGTTGTTCTCTATCTCATGACTTTCGTTAACATACCTGTTGGACGTCGAGAGTGTATTTTAAGCACAGCGATCACGCGTCGGCAGAATGTAAATCACGAGTTGTCTCTTTGTTTAGTATTGATGCGGAGACACAGTGAGAGAATAATGATAAATATGTAAACATTTGACGAATGTTTTCGCTAAATTCTTGCAAAAAATCTCCTTTCATGATTGTCATCCGCCGAAGTGATTAAGTGGAACAAAAGAAAGTGTCGGTTAAAATTATAACATTGATTCTTACTCTAACGCATTATTTTAAATTGGAGACTTGAATTGATGACTTCAGTTCTCGAAAAGTTAATATTTAGAAAGATCGATTCGCGTTCATCGGGAAATTATAATTAGTAGATTTTCATGAAAAATGATAATGCACTGGGCGAGAAAATATTTGAATATAAAATATATATCTCTTCCGATTTTTAATAACTTCGACTTACGTTGCTACTACTTGTTCAGGACCACATAAAATCTCCCGTGGATGTTTATTATCGCAAATATTATTGTAGAATTTTGTATCCGAGAAACATTCTTCATCTAATAATGACATTCTTTATTTAATAACGACAATAACAATAGCAATTAATAATAGCAGCTTTATTAAGCATAATAATAGTTATAATATCAATCATGCGATAATCGTTATATATACTACTGTGATCAAAAAATATTCGAACTTTATTTTTAAAAATCAAAATTACAATTCAATCATCAAAAGTCTTATAGTCTCTTTTAAAGTAGTCCCCATTGCTTGCAACGTACATATGCCAGCGTTTGATCCAATCCTGGAAATATCGGAAATACGCGGCAGATGGTATTTAATTCACGCAACGATTTTTCTTTGATGTCTTCAATCGATTCGAAACGCTGTCGGCGAAGTGATTTTTTCAGTAGGGGGAACAGAAAAATGTCTCATGGGGCCACGTCTGGTGAATATGGTGCTTGCGGAGCGACATTCATTGAGCTTTTTGTCAGAAATTCACGCACAAGTATCGAGGTATGCGATAGTACGTTGTCGTGATGCAAAATCCACGAGTTGTTTTCCCACAATTTCGGTCATTTCTTACGGATTATGTGCTGGCACGATTCAAATGATATTCCAACTTCATCTGCTATCTCTCGCACAGTCAATTGACGATTTTGGAGCACCAATTCTTTTACTTTCTCAATGTGAGCGTCATCCGTTGACGTTGATGGTCTTCCAGAGCGTGGGTCGTCTTCAACGGATTCTCATCTTTCTTGAAACTTCTTAAACCACTCAAACGTATTTGTTTTTGATAAACAATCATCGCCATTTTTGCAACCTTTTTGCAACCTTTTTGAATGCATTTGTGAACGAAATTCTGTTCGCAACACAAAATTTCAAACAAATTCTTTGCTCCATATTTTTCGATATCGTAAAAATCACCGTACACAATAATCTTCACTAACATAAACAACTGCCACTTTCAAATGGCTTGAAGGAATGCTATGATTTTTTCATCAAATGTGAAGGACATATGTACCAACTTAAGAAAGCAAACGAATTTGATTTACAGTTTACCTGCGATTTTTAAAAAATAAAGTTCGGATACTTTTTGATTACAATAATATCACAATTCATGTCCAAAAAACAAAACAACAGCATTACAGCCGACATCGATGTTTGGCCTGAGTAAATGTGATAATTGTTACGATAATTGAATTATTGTACAATTGTTGCGAAATCGGCGGTGGGAGCGGTGCTGAGGGAAAGCGAATTGCTGTTGAAAGCGAGTCTTGCGCGGATCGTTTGTATAAAAGTCCGAATAAAATCAGGGATACATCGCGACGCGCCGTCGCGACGTTGCCCTCCTCGAATGTTGACGACATCTCGGAGAATGCACTTATTGCACTCTCGAAACAGAGTAAGAATAAACTGCTGTTGGCGAGTGTCGCATGTAAACTCTTTAAGTGATTAGTGCGCAATTTGTGACATACATTCTTTAACTTTCGATAGGTGATCCTCGCCAATTGTATGGATCGTCTTGAGAACTTCCGTCAAGCACTTTTCGCCCTCTGTTAATTTATCCTTGTATTTTGCTGGCTCTTTATCTACGATATGTTCGGCTTCATCCATAACGTTGTAAACATTTTCGTCCTCCAGGTGTCTCAATATATGCCTCTCTTCGCAACCCGTGTGGGTTCTCTTACAGGCCCAGAAATAATAGTCTACGTTATATTGCAAATCACGTACTCTCTGTAAGGAAATTAATGCAATTCGACACTTCAAGACTCCACGGTCGATGTGCTTCTCGACCGCGATTTAAAGATTCCTTTTTTCAAAGTCCGATTATTCTTATCGACGATTAACTGACAGAATTAGCAACTGAAATTCTTAATTTCTCTCTCTCTCCCTCTCTCTCTCTCTCTTTTTTTTCTCTCTCTCTCACGCACGTACACATACGCGCGCTTCTTCAACATAAATTAGGATTCTGCAGGTTAATCCTCGATTCAAATAATGGGAGTTTGTAACAACGATCAATGATATGAGAACGTACATAAATCATGTGCCGCAGCTTTCTACACAGTTCCATGTAGGCTATCTTTATCTCTGTGATACAATATCTACCCTCGAATATTAGTTGTGGGAGTTTTTGATTGAAATTAGTGGCCCACACGTGGCAATGGACCACGTCAACACTACCATCAGTAAAGTTTACTATAGCCTGAGAAAAAAGAAAAATGAGCAAACGAAGAATATAATTTTATGTATCATACTTCTCGGCTATGGATGGATTCGGACGATTACTTACATGTATTTCTCTTTTTAAACGATCTGTGTAGTTGTCGTGAGTTAGTATTTGCATATAATGTTCTCCCAAAGTGTACCCGAAGCTATCGTTCTTGATAAACGTTTTATTGTAAAGCTGTTCCAGTTTCTCTAAACGGGACGCAAAGATTGACGGTATTTCTGCTACTGGATACTTCGCAGATCTATCCTCCATATATTCATCCTTTACTGTGTCAAATGCACTGACCTAGAATCAAACGAGAAGTGCTTTATATCGACGAGTGTTATATTGCGTTAGTTTAAGCAAGCATATATCCTCTCACAATTCTTGTCAATAGCGTATTTCTGCGCTTTAGCTTAATCTACACTTATATTCTATTAATTGGGTATCTTTTTTATAATAATTGATTTTCACACGCCAATTTTGAGTTTGACCGAATTTCGATTATAAAGCAAGCTTAACCCAGCTCAACTGTCGCAAAGACAAAATCCTTCTTTTCCAAACAAGCCATATTGTTATTTAAAAAAAAAAATGAAGACTCACCGCACAAAGTGCAGACAAAATGCACAACGCTATGATTCTCCCTGCCATGTTTCCTTTTCTCGTCCACTCTCGTTTGCTCTCACCGAGACGTCTGGTTGACAAAACCAGATTATTTGACAATGTCATAGAACGTTTACTTATACATATACCCTTTAAATGACTAATCCATTTTTGTATCTCAAACTATCTTAAACAGCGGGGGGGAGGGTATCGGGCGACATTTCCTTGAACGTCACATATCATATTTTGACATCATCGTATCGCAACGAATGGATTTTTCTTCTCTGTCGATTGTCTTGTTAAAATAACATGCCGCACAAATGAGCGTAACAACTTGTGATATTTAAATATCGGAACGAAGTATATCGTGTGCAATTCTTTCGTCGAGAACACTGTCACGTGTTCTCGTTCGCGCGTTCGCGTTCGATATATAGGGTGGTTTAAAAGTCTGGAAACGGCTAATTATCTATGAAAATAACGCTCTTGTAAGAAAATGTTTCAAACAAAAGTTGTAGGGTTTTAAGTAACGTACGTATTATATAGCAATATTACTATATACAAGTATACAAACTGTATACTTGTATTTTATTTGGGTATCTTTTCATAATAATACATTTTCACATGCCAATTTTGAGTTTGACTGAATCTCTATTATAAAGCAAGCTCAACTGTCGCAAAGACAAAATCCTTCTTTTTCAAATAAGTCACATTATTTAAAAAAAATAAAAACTCACCACATAAAATGCAGACAAAATGCACAATACTATGATCTTCCCTACCATGTTTCTTCTTTTCGTCCACTCTCGTTTGCTCTCACCGAGATGTCTGGTTGACGAAACCAGATTTTTTGACAGTTACATTACATAGAACGTTTGCTTATAAAATGACTAATCTATGCTTTCATGTCAAACTATATTGAACAAGAGCGGGGGAGATATTGGGCGACATTTGACAACCTGAACGTTACATATCATATTTTGAGATATCTGTATCGCGTATAGATTTTTCTTCTCTGTCGATTCTCTTGTTAAAATAACATGCCGTACAAATGAACGTGAATAATAGCTTGCGATATTTAAGTATCGGGACGGAGTGCACCGTTTTCGGTGTGCAATCCTGTCATCGAAAACATTGTCGCGTGTTTTTGTTCGCGCATTCGGGTTCACGTTCGATATTCAAATAAGTAAATACAATATTCAAAAACGACCGCGATTCATTCTCGGAGAATCCTCGTTTCTCTGCGAAGGATATATCGAGATGTATCTTGTGTGCGGATAGTACACATAAAAAAATATCATCGTAGTACTTAAGAAAAGTGATTATTTAGCTCATTTCCTGTTTCCGTAAGTAATCGTAATTTCCGGCAAGGAACATTTTCTTGATAACAATTTTAAAATATACTTATCAGAAATTTTGTACTCATCAGAAATTTTATAAAAACTCGTTTCGTCATGCACTTAAAAGAAAAATTTATTTTCTTTCCAACAATATTATAAAAATGACACTGTATGTAAATGAAACCAATTGAATTTCTTTTATATTCCACAATTTGGTTTATTTTAACATTCTCGACTGAAGTGCCAAACATATTAGGATTCATAACGTATTTTGGTGCTTATGACAAATTCATGACAGTTCTGCAGATATAAACTTGCGAAATACTTGAAATAATTAATAGGGATAAGTTCGGGATAGATGGGCACATTTTTATTATTGGAATACATTTGTGTAATTGTAATGAATGATCAACAACATGTGAACATCCTTAGCAAAGAATAATGTTTAAGGTACAGAAAAATTTTGGTGAAAAAGAATTCATGGGACGCAATAATAACGAAATATTAAAATATTATGTGAGGGATAGATAGTCAGTATTCGGGTTAAATGGTCATACATAAAAGGATAGTTGAGCATGCCTATAATAATGTGGAAATTTCTTTATCTTTATTTATTTTTTTAGTATTTTACACCCATTTATTAATTATTAATTTTTGTTGATTCTTTTATTGATTATTAATAAAATAAAACATTTCCACAAGTTTCTTGTAGAAACCAAGTACATTGGAGAACATTGGAACATTGGAGAAAAACCTTTGTGAAGTTAGCCCCACCTTTTCAAAATTTGAAAAAATGAGCAGAGTCCTGATTGAGTTCTAGAGTTTTCTATCAATAAAAAAAAGAGTTCCGTTGATTAAAGTGGTCAAAACACGAAATAAAGTTATGGGGGAACCAACTTCACAATTGCGTAAATTTTAAAAGGCCATAACTTTTTTATCTTAAACTTTAGCGCTTTGATGCTTAAAGAAAATCGATAGAACTCTTCGGGAGGCTATCAGAATTTACAAGAAATTGACCGATTTTTTAAAAAAAATTTTCTCTTGTACTCAGAAAATTCAGCACCTGCGATATTTTGATGAGGTACAACTCTTTCATTTCTGCTCGAATCGATTCAAGTCATAAGGAAAACCAATAGAACTCTTCGGGGAGTTATCAGAACTCTCAAGAAATTGACCGATTTTCGAAAAAAATTTTTCTCCTAGTTGGACTTAGAAAATTCAGCATCGACGATACTTCGATGAGCTAGAACTCTTTCATTTCTGCTCCAATCGATTCAAGTCATAAGGAAAACCGAGAGAACTCTTCGGGGGGTTACCAGAACTCCCGTCTGGACTGCGAAATTACGAAAAAATATGCAGCTTTTGGGGATTTAGGAAATATCTAAAAACTCGGATGCATTTGTAGTTTCTTTATCTTCGGCCACAGCGCGGCAATTTATAAGGATATTCGATAGAACTCTTGTGGGGGCTACGAATACTTTCGTCGGAACGCCAAAATTACGAAAAAAACTCACTTTTATGGGACTTAGAAAATTTCTTTATACCTCTGTCGTACGTATTTTTTCTTTATATGTCTTTTTTTCAAAATAGTTAAAGATTGACTTCTTTTTCACCTGGCGACTTTTTCTTCAAGATAAATAAAGATTGACATATGTTTCAATTATTGGTTACTTTACCACTCGATGTAGCAAGCGGATTTAAAATTAGTAAATTTATAAAGATGCAAATCGATGTCGAATGAATACAGGAGCCGCTGAAAGTAGATATGTTTTTAATTTTTTTCCTTTCATTTAAATGAAGTATGCGCAAAAAGTTACTATAATAATACGTTTAATATAAATTTTATACGTAACAGTAATTGAGCGTTAGCGTGTTAATAATAACGGTAATATTAATAGTAATTGTAATAATAGTATGTTAGACATAAGTACATGTAAGATTTTGTACTGTGTTCTCTTTCTCTCTTTCTCTGCTCGCTTACCTTGCTCTCTATGACTATATGTGTGTGTATGTGCGCGCGCGCGCGCATGCGCACGTGTACATATACAGGGTGTCCCATTTAACCTGACAAATCGTAATATCTGGAAAACTACATGTCGGATGAAAAAAAGTGGGTAATGAAATTTGTTCAGCTCGAAAGGGGACATCCAATGGTATCAAATTCGACCTCCCACCCAAGTCCCGGAGGGTGGGGGTGGGGGGCAACTTTGAAATCTTAAATAGAAACCTCCATTTTTATTGCAGATTCGGATTCTACGCCACAAAATACGTAAGTTTCGTCCGAAACTTTTTTTTTTATTCGTGATAGATGGCGCTGTAATCGCAAAAAATTAGATTTTCTGCAATTCTCCAGAAATGATCATTGGATTGAAAAATAAAAAAATACCTGTTCAATATTTTTAAAAATATTTTCAAAAAACATAATAACAGTTATTCCCCCCCATCTCCTCGGGGTAGGGTGGGTGGTAACGTTCAAATCTCAAATGAGAACCCACATTTTTCATTGCAGAATTAGATTTTACATGAAGTTTTTATGGAAACAATTTTTTTTCATTCGTGATAGATAGCGTTGAATTTTTCCGAGAAACTACTTTTAACGTTACCCAGGAACAACGACGAGGACGTAGTAGCTTTCTGTTCCCTTCGGGATGCTTGTTTTAGGTGAGTCCCCTCGCCTCTCACCATCGGGGTGCTTGATTCAGGTGAGCCCCTTCACCTTCCACCATTTAATTAAATTAAATGCTCAAAATGATGACCTTGAACTTCAATGCACTTGTTGATTCGTGCTTCAAATGCCTGTATACATTTCATAAGTATGTTTGGTGTAATTGCGGCGCAAGCATCCCTTATTCATTGCATCATGTTTTCGCGAATAGTAGGTGTTTCTTTATAAACAGCATCTTTTAAGTAACCCCACAAGAAAAAATCTAGGGAGGTAAGGTCTAGCGATCTGGCTGGTCAGTTCACCGGACCCCGATGGTGAGAGGCGAGGGGACTCACCTAAAACAAGCACCCTGAAGGAAACAGAAAGCTACTACGTCCTCGTCGTTGTTCCTGGGTAACGTTAAAAGTAGTTTCTCGGAAAAATTCAACGCTATCTATCACGAATGAAAAAAAATTGTTTCCATAAAAGCTTCACTTAAAATCTAATTCTGCAATGAAAAATGTGGGTTCTCATTTAAGATTTGAACGTTACCACCCTCCCTACCCCGAGGGAATGGGGGAAATAACTGTTATTATGTTTTTTAAAAATATTTTTAAAAATATTGAACAGGTACTTTTTTATTTTTCAATCCAATGATTATTTCTGGAGAATTGCAGAAAATTTAATTTTTTGCGATTACAGCGTCATCTATCACGAATCAGAAAAAAAGTTTCGAACGAAATTTATGTATTTTGTGGCGTAAAATCCGAATCTGCAATAAAAAATGGAGGTTCCTATTTAAAATTTCAAAGTTGCCCCCCACCCCCACCCCCCGTGAGTGGGGTGGGAGGTCGAATTTGATATCATTGGATGTCCCCCTTCGAGACGAACAAATTTTATTACCCACTTTTTTTGATCCGTCATGTAGTTTTCCAGATATTACGATTTGTCAGGTTAAATGGGACACCCTGTATAACACATGGTATAAGTGCGTGCATGTCAATTAATGTTTTACATAAATTAATATATGAGGACATATCTTTTCTGCCGTTACAGTAGTCCTTTCGGACAACATATCATCATATTTATACCATGTCAGGCCTGTATATATAAAAGCAATATAATGCCCGTTATTATAATAATTACCATACTTAATATATAACCCAATACCTGCTAGGCTATAATTTATATTTCCTATTATGATATTCTTCGCAACATTATCTAAAGTAAAATTAACTCGTTCTATATTTATTCCTTTTAAATATTCAATATCGGTTACAATACTTGTGTCAAAAATTAAATGCGGTCCATAAGAAAGAATACGGCTTGTATGTTTTTTACATTCTCTGCATATTATTGTATTATTTAAAGCAATATTATCGACTGCCTCTTGAATTTGAAAAAAAAAAAAAAAAACGCAAGCGCCCGGGGGCAACCAAAATATGGTGTCGACCCCGGGGCCTATTTCTATTATTTGCACCGGATAAGGAGGGGCAACGGTGGAGGCCGGCATACATGGACAGCAGGTCTTAAAGGATAGCAACCTTTGACTTTGAGAGACCACCAGCTTGTACCACTAGGTACAAGTAACAATGCCTCTCTCTGTAGTCGCCGTGCGCTCGGGATAACGAGCCTCTTGAATAGTACCTAGACCATTTTTCAAAATAATGTCGACATTGATGTTGCATGTTACAGATACACGTACTGGTATAATTATGGCCACAGTTCAGACAATTGTATGACATGGTATAACTTGGTATATCCTTAAATAAATGTTCTGCAAGATGCGCAGCATTAAAATTTGCATTTAAAGAAAATATGCCACGAGCGT